GAAGGTCCTCCTCATTCCCAGGTCCAGTGCTCTGTCCTGCCTTCCAGAGGGCAGAAGCCAAATGGTCAGGTGATAAGGCAGGTAGCTATGAAAATTTTCCACACTATTTTAGAAGAATCTATGTGCCCTGTAGTATTTGTAGCCCCTCTGTATGTGTGTGTAATTATAATCCCCACCCCACCCCCAATCCTGTCTAATTACAAACCCCTGTTGTGCCTGTGTGTCTCTCCCCTCTCACATACAGGAATCCCACTGACTTCAAAGGGAATTCTAGATGGTAGTGGGCGGGGGGGGGGGGGGGGGAACTGATGCCCCCAGGAGGGACAAGCCTGGTGACTTGACTGTTTCTTTTCTCCCCATCCCCACTTAATGCCTGGAAATGCTTAAACCCCAGAAGCACAGATTAAGCTGAGCTTTAGGCAAGTTAATGATGATGGCCCTGGATTCCAAGGTGTAAGGGCCCCTTCCTAATGATCTCCTAACACTTCAAGGGAGCTGGAAAGCATTTAGGGCAGCCTTCCAAGGTGAGCATTCTGGAAGTCAACATGCTTACCCAAAAAGGGACAGATTAGTAGGGCTGGGCCACTCTGGGACTTTGGTTCAGCCTAGTGGGCAGGGACCACTGGGGTGAACTGGGAGGGTTCTCAGTGAACATTTGGCCTGATCCATGCCCAGAGAAGTCAAGGCTAGGTTTTACAACATCCTCTTGACATACAGTAGCATCCTTCAATGGAAACAGTATCATCTGTGGAGTCAAAGGATCTGGGTTTGAATCTGCCGCTTCTTACCTGAGTGAATTTGGGCAATTCCAGCTTCAAGAGAACAGAGAAGCCATGTAGCCCAAGCCCCTCATTTTACACAATAGGAAACTGAGACACTATGGAACCTCCCAAGGTTACACAAGTAATAAACAGCAGAGGTCAAAATCCAAACCAGGTCCTTTGTTTAAACATCGAGGCCCCCTCCCCCACTCCTTCCACCTATAATGGGTCAGGCACTGAGAATGGGGAAAACAAAAGAATGAAACCCTCCCTGCCCTCAGCAAGCTTACAGTCTAATGGAGAAGGGGGAACAGCAGATAGACAAGAAAGTAAATACAAAATAAATTCAAGAATTTCCAGAGGGATTGGGACAGGCCTTATGAGTTCATTCACATGGGGAAGTCCCTGGGTGAGCAAAAGTCCTCTGCTAGTCCAGGAAGGCTGTTTCTCTGAAGCTTCAGAGTCTTAAAGACAGTTGCCCAGAGCGCAGAGAGGAGAGAGGGGACTGCCTAAGGTGAGACTTCCAGGAAGTGTCAGGTAGGACTTGACCCAAGGTCCTCCTGGCTCCAAAGCCATCTCCCTAACCTCTGCCACATTTGTCTTCTCTTCAAAATGGACAGAGAGAAGGCCTGGCCTTGGGATTTCATTTACTTAGGGACCTCTCCAGGGGGGGACAGTGCTATTTTCTAATGCAGGGAAGCACTTTCTCTGCCATGTGTATCTTTAGAGCTGCCTAAGGGCACTAGGAGGTTAAGGGACTTAGTCAGCGTTACCCAGCCAGGATTTCAAAGGTCTTCCTGGCTCTGATGCCAGCTGTCATTCTGCCTCTATTTCAAGAGTGCCAATGAACGAGAAGAAAGGGTAAAGGGAAGGAAAACAATTGCAAAGTCTTCTTGAAAGAGGAAGCCCCAGGGCTCAGGGCTGGGAGAGCCTTCTGGACACTGCGAGTCACTTACTGAAGCTGGGCCTGTTTCCATTTCTAGAAAATGAGAGGGTTGAACTTGATCGTTTCCCAGGAACATTCTAGCTCCAAAATGGGATGACTGCCCCTGAGCGCATAGAAACCCACTGCCTAATGAAGAAGCCATCCCATGGTTGTGGGTACTGAAAAAGGAAGTTCCTCCCTCTATTAAGACTAACAGGTCATGAGGAAAACTAGTCCAGTGCACTTGGAATCAGGCCTTGGACTTGAATTCAAAAGCCTCAGAGACTTACAAACTGTGTGACTCTAGGCAAGTCACTTAACATCTCTGCCTCAATTTCCTTCCTCTGTAAAGTGAAGGTCAAAATTGTACCCACCTTACAGGGATGTCAAGAGGATCAAATGAGATAAGGAATTTAAAGTGCTTTGCTTGAAAAAGGCTACACATGTTAGCTATTAAAAGAGTTGACAGGTTTAAGAAGTGTTTCAGATGCCTGATCTCATCTGATGCTCCTCCAAGTACAGTATAGATTATGGGAATCGTTATAGATGAAAAACCAGCCAGGGAAAGGTGAAGCAGCTTGCTCAGGGAGAGGGAGGCCCATTGGAGCCCAGGGTTCTCCTGTTTCTAAGTACATTTTCTCTTTCTCTCTCTCTCTGTCTCTCTGTCTCTCTCTCTCTCTCATGCTTTTTACAGTGACCAGCTTACTCTCTGCTTGGTCTCTTGCTCTGACCTTCATCCTGATATGTGGCAAGGGAGGGGGCAATGCTTACCCTGCTCTGCCACCCTCACCCCCCCGGCAAACCCACAACAGTTGATAATGGGCTCCTTGAGGCGAGGAGATCAGATTTCAAAACACACACACACACACACACACACACACACACACAGACACACACAAACCCAGAACTCCATATAATCCGTTCCCCCTGCTTGTGCAGAAACCTCAAAGAGGATGAAGGTCAGACAGGGATAATAGGCCAATTTAATTCCAAGCTCACAAGGTGTAAGCAATTTTAATTACGGTCTGCTACTGAAATCACACAAAGATCGGATGGCATCTCAGTGCAACTGCTCATCAAGGGAGACAAGAGGGTTGTAATTGTAACCGGCGCATAATCACGGCTAGTGGCCTCCGAGAGGGAGGCAAGGAGGGAGAGAGGGAAGCTGCCAGCGGCAGTGGCGACGGCTGCAGCTCGGGTCCTGCCTGGGAAGCCTGGAAGAATCCAAACCCAGGAAAGGCATGGAAGGAAGGAAGCATTGCCCGCTGCCAAGGATGAGGCTGCAGCCTGCCGTGGAGCTGAAAGCCCGGGATATGTGTCCAAAGGCACCGGCAAAGCTTTGGTCAGCGCGGCGTGAGGGCTCCGTAGCTTCATCTGGGCCGAGAAGCGTTCCACCCCCCCACCCCCCCACCCCCCTCCTCCCCTTCTTTGTTCAAACAATTTGCTCGCATGTAGCAGTGGTTTGTAGGACCAGACAGACTCCTAATTAGCTTGCACCAAACCCAGCTCCACAGTGCACGGAGAGACTCGTAGACCTTCCCGAGGTTGGGAAGCAGCTGGATACGGAAAATCACAGGCTCTAGAGTCGGAGGCCCTGGGTTCGAATCCCAGCCCTGCCCCCCTTAGGTAGCCGCGTGTCCCTTGGGCAGGTAGATCCTTGCCCCGCCCTATGCCTCTGTTTCCACTCCTGCAAAATGAAGGGAGTTTGAGCCACTGGTCTCCGAGGTGCCTAGCAGCATTAGAGCTAGGATCCAGTGAGCCCCGGGGCTGCAGCCCAGGGACCTAGAGTTTACAATCCAGCTCCTCCACCCCTCCCCCAGCGCTTCCCTTCCGAGGAGGCGCCGGGAGCCCCGCAGCTGGCCAAACTTTCAGCAAACAAGAGGGAAGCAGCGCCCCGCCCGGCCCCCGCCCGCTGCCAAGTTTGGGGAGGACTTGGTCTCGGGGATGCCCGCCGGCTGCGGGGGGCGTGCGAGGCAGGGCACCCACCGGGGCCAGGAGGGGGCGGCCAGGCCCATTCCAGCCCGCACCCGGAAGGAAGCCCGGACAGCTAGCCTGGTTTCGCTTCCAGGAGTCCCCGCGCTGGGGCCGGAGGGAAGAGAGGATCTCACAGCGCAGATCTCCCCGCCGGCCCCCAACAGGGCAGGAGGCAAATGCCTCAGGGGGCGCTGTCAGCTGCCCCCAGGGGAGCAGAGGCACAATCCCCGCTCCGGGAGAGGGGGCCACGCTTACTTTTGGGTATCGGGGGAGGGGAAGACTTGCTAGAAGTCAAGGGGAGCAAGTGTACCCCGTTTCGGACATATCCCCTCCCCCTCCGCTCTCTACCCCTGCTTCCAGCTGTGACCTCTCAAACTTGCCTCTCGGGGGCTAGTCCCAGGCCTCGGGAGCTGGGAGAGGGGGGCGCGGCCAGCACAAACCTGCACCCCCTCCTCAGGGCACACCCTGACACTCCGTCTGCACCCCTGCCTGCAGTCAGCCCCCTCCCTCCCTCCTCTATCTGGGAGGCTCTCGCCTGCCACCGATCTCCCAGGCTCGGGGGTGCTTAACAAAGTGGATTACGTCGCCCTCAGGGAGCCAGAGGAAAGTGGGGGCGGGCGGGCGGCGGTGAGGGGGGGGTGACTGGAGGGCGAAGGGAGAGGACGGCAGAAAGAAAAAGAAATCAAGTTTGTAGGCGAGCGCTTCCCCGGCCGATCCCCGTCGCCATGCTTAGGACTCCGGGCGCCCCCCCTTCCCTCTTCTTTCTTTCAAGTAGATACTGAAACTAGGCCAAAACTTTTCTTCCCCTGCCTTTCTCTTAGGCACTAGACTGAAATGTGCCCCACGGAGCCCCATGGAGCTGGGCTTTCTTAGCGACAATGGGCAGACTAATTAGATCATAGAAGCGAGCCAGTGATACTGTAACTAGGAGCCAAACAAGAGGGAAGGAGAGGCAAGAAGGGGCCAGAGCCCGGAGACGGACGGACCGCGACAGGGGGACCCGGGCACAGAGGGAGAGCCAGGGGGCGCAGAGGGAGAGCCGGGGGGCGCAGAGA